AAAAAAAAAAAAAAAAAAAAAAAAAAAAAGGAAAAGAAAACACAACAAAACAAAATAAAAAAAAGGAAAAAAGTGGAATGAAGTAGTGGCGAAGTAAACCGAGAAACATTAGTGTTATAGTTAAGTTCGCCGTCGTTATAAGAAACGAGTGGAAACGAAAACGACAGTTGTAGCTTCGGTGGTCGTAAGTGAAGAGGTAAAAAAACTAGGAAGTGTGAGAAGGAGAAGAAGGAAGAAATATTATGACCATAGAGTGTAAGCGGTTTCTAAAACAGCAAGATTATAAAAAAATTAAAAAACTATGCGCAAAACGCCAGAAGTTGTTCGTGGATGTGGAATTCCCGCCGACAAGCAGTTCACTATTCTTAGAACCGGAAAAGTCTCATGCAGAAATTGTCTGGAAACGTCCAAGTGTATGTTTCGCTTTTTAACTGTTGCTTTAGCAAATAGCTTTCTGCAAATTGATAAAAAATGATTGGAACTGATTAATGTTTTTAATAAGGTTTTGCATTATTTTTTGTCGTTATCGTTTCTTTTATTTTCATTTAAAAATGCTTTTCTTTGACTGAACCTCTTTCTCTCTGCCATTTTTTTTTTACAGAAAATGAGAATATTAATGGTTTTTTTCTAACATTCAAAGATAGAAAAGAAAAGGACACTGTTCATTATTTGAGTAACATTACGGAGATCGGCAGCAGTAAAAAAAATGAGCAAACAAATAAATGTGAGAAGCAAAAATGAAGAGAAATGGGTGAGGAGACGAGATATGAGTGAATAAAACGGGAGTTTTAGTTTTTAGTAAAGAAGCAGTTATTTGCCCTTTTCTTAGCGTCGCTGAAAACTGTTCAGTTTTTGGTTTTCTATTCCTCTGTTTTTCTTTTTTTTTTTTCTTCAGATAATCGCAACCGTTTTCGTTTTCTACTTTATGTTCTTCTTTTTCTTTTTATTTGATAAATTTTGTGAAATTTTTTCATATTTCATCGTTTCATCTTCTTCCTTTCCTTTTACAAGCTCTTGCAAATTTAATTGTTGTGATTTTTTTGCTGTAAATAAAATTTTCAGCTTGTTATGGTGTGTTTATGTGGAGTATTTTGAAGCCAAAAAAACCTAATGTTTTACAAAAATCTATAAATCAAGAAACAATTAAAAAAAAAGTGAAGGGAAAATAGAAGTGCAGGAAATGTGCCTGTGAAACCGTACTAAACTTAAAAAATTTTTGATCGTTTTTTCCAAATTTCGGTGTCATTGCTTTTTTTCTCTTCGCTGTTTTTTAGTATTTCATCTTGTTAAAAATATTTTCATTTTTTTTTTCAGAATTTTTTGCACATAAAGTACGCTAAACCAAAATGGTTGTTTTTTTTTGTTCACTTAATTAAATATGTTTTATTCTTCACTATTTATTTCAATTAACTTTACACCCTCTAACAAGATCATTACCTGTTGTTTGTTTCGCATTCTGTCCTTCACTTTATGTGAGTACTATTGAAATGAGCAAAGTTTTCCATTGCAACTTCTACAACAGCTACTTTTCCGTTAATAATTTTTTAGTATTCTTTACTGTTTTTTGAACAAATATGTTCGCATATCTGTACTTCTCGGTACTTTCAAAAATGTGTTTTTTTTTTTTTTTTGGAAAATCAGGTCAAATATCAGTATATGTACAGGCAGACAGTAATTTTTGATTGAAATTTTGCTGTCACTTTTCACCAACTAACTAATTGACTGATCTTATTTTATTTTAAATAAATTTTTAATTTGCTTTAGTGCCCAAGTATTATTGCTGCTTTTTGTTTTAGGAGCTTGTTGATAATCCAAAATTGTTTGTGGAAGGTGCAAGTCCAAATGATGTGACGCAGGGAATTCTTGGAAACTGTTGGTTTGTTTCGGCATGTTCGGCATTAACACACAACCAAAGGTTGTTGGATAAGGTAAATGGAGGGAATTTTTGCGGTGATTAACAAAGTTTATTTTCTGTTTGCCTTTTAATGAATATTTTTATTTCAGCAGTTGTTTACCGTTCTTGAACACATTATTTTAGACCTACTTGAAGTCATTAATGTTTTTTATTTTAATTATAAGTGCCAGTCTCTCAGTTAATCGAACAAGTTAAACCAGCAGCCTTTTTCTTCCTTGTTATCATATCGGTTTTTTGCATCATAACTTCACCAGTCACC